AAAGAAAGAAAGAAAGAAAGAAAGAAAGAAAGAGGTATCTGATAATAGGCTCCCCTAGCCTATTATTAGGCACCGATTTTTTTCTTTCTTTCGTTTTCCACTTGGTGATGTTAAAGTTTGTAGGCCGGATTCGATCGTCGTTTACACTAGAGTAACTCAAGGCAGTCAGTGGCGACCTTGATTAGTACAAAGCTTAGCTCTTTTAGGTTTTCATATTTTGTAAAGAGCGCTTAGTCAATCGAGATGTGTTTCGTATGAAAATATTTCTTTCTCTTTTTTTCTTTCTTTCGTTGGCTGTATTTCGGCTTCATTGAAACTTTCAGAATCTTGGTTTGAATTTCATTTTGTGCATGTAGCTTAAAGTTTCCATTTTGTCCTCTTTTTGGTTGATGCAATGTAAGAAGCTGTGGGGCATAACGAAATCAACAATAAAATCGTCCTAAGACTAAAATATCGTGATCAGTTGAATATTGAGGTATTATGTTTTTTCTCGCAGATATATTGACTTTCACTGAGAACTGAGGGAACTGTTCACCACAGGGCCTTAATGTTTATGTTTGACTAAGGTGGACAGAAACCAGCCCAGGGCTTGCACTCCCCGATTTTTGCATATAAATCCGAGCGCCCCAGCATTAGTAAAAAGAAGGAACATCTATTTTTTTTGCCATCACCACTTTTTATTTGTTCTACAGTACAAAGCGTATCGATGCTAATCTACTGAGCCGTTAAAAGCTTGTTTGACAGGACGGCATCTTACAAAGTTCTTATCACTGAACTAGAATGTATCCCATGGCTTTGATGTGTTTGTCTCCATTATCACCGCCATGCATTGCCACGTTTCCACAAATGATTTGTTTAGGTGATCCTATACCGAACCCGATTCTCGAGTCACAGGTGGTGCACGCGTTCTCGTTGTTACTAAGAATGCCAATTCTCGCCCTACGATAACTGTTGCACACGGCATTGAACCCTTCCTTGTTACAGTTGCGCTGTAAGGAGGCCTGTGAACCAATCAGCTTCTTCCACTTGTTACGACCCAGTGAGGTGGGGCGGTACTTCCCGTCAGCGATCAGTGAGTACAGAGAGTTGGCTGGCTTGTTGATGACGATGAACTTGGTCTGTTGGCCGATCTTCATACCGAGACAGATCTTGGAGAAGGGTGTGTTCCAGTAGGTCGGTAACTTGGTCTCTTGTAAGTCAAACCCAGTCTTGCCTCCTGGAAGGTTAAAATCCTTCTTGTCGGTCCAGTGCGGGGAATTGTTGTGGAAGGTTGACTGGATGAGAGGAAAGAAAAATAGGCAGAATGGAAACAAAATCATAGATTACTTAATTCCAAGTAACACACTATATAAACAATTGTCATCAATCCTATTCTTTCTCGTTTTCAGTCTTGGAAACTTAAGAGTTTTCATCGGCTTAGCTATTGTGGTATTCGAGCAAAATTATCATACAATCTTCTACAAATATGTTAAACGTACGCGCAAGATTTTGGGTCCTTTTTATTTTTTAGATCTCATTTGTGTTTTCTATATTTTGGGGGCGTTTTTAATAAAACAATTATTAGCTAATTACTCCACTCGCGCTTGTAGATCATTGTATGAGATCATTATAGCCAACTCGGGGGTACGCGCCTCATTGGCTATAAATCATCTGTCATATCCAACACGCACTCGTGAAATAATTGTTAAATGTACCTTGTTTCCGTCAATCTTCATGACTGGTGTCCATCCTCCTTCTCCACATCCAAAATCTCCCACGTGACAGAGAACAGAAATTGGTTTTGAGTCAAAGTGAAGAGTGACCAGCTGACTCACGTTGGATCTGTTAAATGATGAAAAAAATCTTAAAAGAGGCTACAGAAAATAAGTTTAATTCTATTGAAACAACACTCCTTTTGTCTGTCTGTCTGTCTGTCTGTCTGTCTGTCTGTCTGTCTGTCTGTCTGTGTTGTTGTTTCAAGGTAGTTTCCAGTTTTTGCAGCAAAAGTTCGGAACATTGTATATGCAATTTTAACGAGGAGACAGTGTTCTTTTTTCTCAGTTATATAGATATATAGAAAATCATTGACAGGTGATCTCCTGGATTTGTGACTTATGCTATTTGTTTTTTGCCACAAATGGCACCTATCAAATGGTAGCTCTAAATCTTCGGGTGATAGCTTCTACAAAAAACCAATTCTTCAAATTAACGAAGGGTTCTTGATGAAAATGAAAAGCACTATTGTTATGTACTAATGTTATGTAAAGTTGTCATCATTTCGCTGACGAATGATACCCTAATATTTAGCCACAAATGTCCAAGGGTCGGTTAATTGTCTGTTACAAGTGTTAGATGATATGCGCCTGTCGATAAATCGTATTTATCTCGTAATATACTTCTATGCTTCTATGAGGTAATATACCATATTGATTTACACTCTTATCAGTTGGAAGCTAAAATTTCATCAGCTGGTGTAGCTACTCTCCAATGAATCTCACGTCAATCCTTTTGTAAGATCCATTTATTCAAGAGCGATTACCGTCAGGGAATCGACCTACCGTTGAGAAGAGAAACTTTACATGCATTGAATATAGTATTCAAACGAGGTGGTATTACAAAGCTAATGCTATGACTTACCTGTAAACATCATAAACTTCCTTGCATGATTCCACACCTATTAGAGACAGACACATTGATGCTAACGCAGTTTCGCTCACTCGCTGACCCTGGCCATGAATAGTTCCATGGGCCAAAAGTCTGTGGAGCAGGACTGGCGCGTCGGTCAGAGCGCTCGCCTGCCACTAAACCGCGATCAGGAGTTCTTTCCAAAAAAGAGAACGCCTGATCATATGTATAGCCTGCCACCAATGTGGCGCGGGCTTTAAACCTGGACCCGTCGTCACTGGTAGGTTGAGTTAATGTTTGTTTTTCTCATCCCTGCGCGGAGGTTTTATTCACCGGGTTCTTTGGTTTTTCCTATCTCCATTAAAACCAACATTTCAGATTTTAATACGATCTCTATGAACGAACACTTTGTAACGAGATAATGAGAGCTTTTCCTGTTTGTTGTGTAAATACAGTACATTTAAATTATTTGGCAAGTCAATCATGCTAGCCATAGAAACAGATTTAATTTTAAAAAGGTATATACTAGAATTTTATCGTGGAGTATCAATAAATCGATGGATACATAGATACTGTAATTAACAAAAAAGAAATTTGAGTGACTTAGTACCCCTACACTGACTGTGTTGGGCTTAAAAGATTTCTACAGGTTAGTTAACAAAGTGCAGCTACTGACGTTTACCTTTTTCGCAGTATTCTCCAATGAAACTTTTTTCACAACTACATTTGAATGTGTTCTCCTTGTAGTTTGGCACACAGGTACCTCCGTTGTGACATGGCGAGGAGGAACAAGGTGACTGAAATAAGATCATAAGCACATGATCAATATACAAGACTTGCTCTCATTACGAATCAAAATCAGAAAGCAAAATGAATATTAGTTGGACATTCTGCTTTGTGGATGTGTTGTGATTGGATTCACGTTGAGTTGTAAAGTGCTTCCAAACTCTTTTATAGAAAACAATCGTAAGAAAATACGCGCGCTGATTGGTTAAAAATCGTATTCCTATCAAACAATTAGATTATGAGCTCAAAATTTCTATAGCGTGATAGTTGACGAAGGCGAATCAAGAGCGAATAATCTAATTGTTTTAGTATAAATCTACTTGTCGTTCAAAACGTTATCCAATCCTCTTCATTAACACCTCGAAAACGCCAAGAAGAGGCCGTCATTCTGTTAACAAGCGCACACTGCTACGCTACTCACTATCTATAACGGAATAGATAGTGAGTAGCGTATAGCCAATCAGAGGAGGGCATTCGTGATAGAACGCTAGTAGATTTATACTAAAATTCGATAGAAACACGGTACATGTTTTCTATTTCTTAAGTATCGACTTGTTAAGTCTTTAGTTTGTAAAATTCCTGCATCTTGGAAGCTGTGCCATATTCAGAATCCGCTATATTCCTCTTGGATTTCCGGGCTCTCTCTATACTAGAGAAAAATCTCCAAAACTGAAGTTACAAATTTGCTACAGCTATAAAGATATTGGAAGAAAATAATCAAGAAATATTGTTCCTTGTGTCTCCCCCGGGAGCTTTCTATAATAGGGTAAATTTGAAAAAGGGAGCTGAGAATACGTTTCCTCCGACTCATACCTTAAAATTCAGTAGAAGTATGATTCATCTTTCATATTACGTTATTAGACAGTGAATCTCACCATGATGGAGATGTGATGCGAACTTTTGTTTTGTTGATATTTCTCGGGGCTGTTGTACTTATCGGAAGGCAGAAGCTCACACCAAGGTTGTTTACGGACTGTTTGGGACGCAGCCAGGTTAACAGAGAAGCATGAAGGATTCCGCAGGCATTTAAAGCAACAATCAAATTCGTCAGTCGCCATAGTTGTTCCAACATTAGGCACATTCAGATAGTGGAACTCGTGTACTGAATACAGACGCTCGTTATAATTCTCTTGCAGAATGTTTGATTCTGTGG